CGCGAGGAAAACACCCAGAGTGTTGGGTTTTAAGCTTCGATTGTGGCCTTGTGACAATCGAGGCGACGACGGTGGCCTCTGTCATCACGACATGTCCTCATCTCGGAAAAGGACAATAGAATAATTAATTATCATAGTTCCGAATCGTGTTCGGGGCTCTCACGGACAGATTTATGAAGACAGCGGAAGAGGGACGATTACGATCCGAGTCTAATCAAAATCTGCGCTGGAGGACTTACGATTTCAGAGAACGGGCTTTGTTCCTGATGTCTTCTCTCCAGAGTCCCGCCAGATTATTTCGAAAACGGAAAGGAGCGAAAACAAGAACCACAACGACTGCCTTGCGGTGACAACACCAATGACGGAAGCTCCTTGGAATTCCTCTTTCCCTCAGCTCGACGGGAGCTCCTCGGAGAAGCCTGGCACCGATGCCTGCGTATGCTCTCGTACCCCCTCGACTCGTACGCATCATACATACCTACGGGACACCTGACTTTTTTTCTGCGCGTCTTGATTTTCCCAGACGTGCGTCGCGTCGTAAAGCTCTACCATCTTTCTTCTCGTCATCCTCCCCGCCCCCAATGGGAGTCGCCGCAGAGTCACATAAGATTTTTTTATGCAGAAACCCGCAAGCGATCGTTGCGGCAGGCCCTGCAGAGTCTATGCAAACGCTCATTGCTCAGAAGTACGCAGGCGAGCAGGAAAAACTCGGAGTTCACGCCGTGCCAGCTAGGAGTCCTTCTTTCCCGCATGTATTTTCCAAACGTGGATACGTGTGTTCCTCCAAACCGGGAAGACAGGGGTGAACGAGAGGAAGACATACAAAACGATCGACCGACCGAGCGAGCGACATAGTAGGCACAGACAGTGGGACCGACGAAGCGACCGGAGAAGCCTGAGTGTATGGATTAGGTGATGTCCTTTCCAGCCCGACGAGTCTTTGAATTAGGGTCCTGACATTTAGAGCTCGACGTCCCGTATGTCTCCGAGAAGCCTCTCCACGTCTTTTCGCTGTAGGTCTTCTTCCCGGCCGTGCGACGTACGCCGTCCATCTATTTCTCCCGAGTCGGAGAGCTTGGAATGGGAACGGGAAACTTCTGCATCTAGTCGCAGTCGAAGCCCTTCCCCCATTCTTCCGAATGATATGCCATTTCGGTATTTTTTCCTTGTTTCAGCCCATGCTCTGGTCATTCCCGCGAGTTCCGAGCGCCCCGGCTCCACGCCAAGCGACGGAAGGGAAAAAACTGTCAACTCGCTCGCTGAACTGTCTATGTGTCGAAGGATGTCGCGAGGAGTAATTAGTATGTAGACGTTTGTCAATGTTCGAATCTGTCGCCGGGGGCATTCAGATACACGTGTGGCTAATTGAAGACGATTAGGGAGCGCGGTCGGACCCGGGAAACGGGACTGCGAGAAAAGACTACTTTGTCGTTCCGTCCCCCCATGATCATCTATCATCAGACGCCCACATCAGGCGAATTATTTCCTACGGGCCTACTTTCCGCTCTCGGTGGAGTAGACGTTCTCCGTTCAGCGGACACACTGGTGGTACGTAACAGCATTCCGAGGACTCGAAAACAATAAATGCCAGTAATCAGCTCATTAGCTGTATGGAAATAAATGCCTCATTCATCCTGCGAAGTTCATCCAATGGTTGACGCAAAATATTATTTTCTAGGCCTTCCTAACCTTGCGGCGGCACATCATACATTACGATATTTCTCACGTGGAACTCTGCGAGCAGGCTGCTGCGCCGATTCACCCCGTCAAGATATATAGTCAGACGTCAAAAGAAATACGAGCCACCTCCCGGACTCACTCATCGCAGGAAGGCTCTTCATCATTAGCCAGGATCCGACCCAGTCGGAATTCCGGGGGTACGCGATGCTCTCAGTCGATGATTACTGTACCCGAGGAGATCGCAACGGATCCGTCAAGGGGCTGACAAGCTCCCTGTCGATGCATGCAGCGAATCGTGAAACATAGATTCCCCATTCCTTTCCGAGACGGTTTCTTTCTCGTCAGATGCAGCCCTTCGAATCGGAGAGGAATTTGTCACTGAGGAATCTTTCACGAGGCCGCCGGGTCGGCCGGCTCCAACCGGCAATTTTGATCTTGGTTGCCCCCCCCCCACCTGCCTGCTCTGCTCCCTTCCCCAGACCCCTCCTCCCTGGAACTTTTATACGGGGAGAATCTCAAACCGAGCGGAGAAAGAAGAGATTCAGTTGATCAATAATAGATAGCGCCGTTCCTTTAAGATAGCCGAAATAAAGTTCGTCGCTGCCTTGTCTAGATAGCGCTGCCCAATCGGAATCGTACCGTACACTGCGCCACTTTTCAGAAGTATCTTCAGAGATGTTCGGAGAGAAACTTTTTGGATTTTGACGTGCGCTAATTCATGCCAGCCTCGAGCGAGCTACTCGAATCCCCTCCTAACACACTCATCAGGATAGAGACCGCCTCACCGTGAGCCGTGAGGCTTCCGACTCCGTTCTCTCGAAAGAGATGCTTGCTCGAAGGATCAGCCTCTCGGCATTTATTTCCTATGTCGGTGGAGAGTTGCCAATTAATCGAAGATAGGTCGAAGCAATCGGGCTCGGGACTCTCAGGGCTCGGGACTCTCTGGGCTCGGCTCAGGTAGGTGCTCAGATAACGGCTGTCTGACCGAGAGTGGTCAGGGCCGCCTGCACTCAGCAAGGATATGTACGTGGACGTGCTGAAAAGCTCAGCTAAGTTTGACGTCTACCCGGTAGAACCTGACTCAGCACTCCTTACCTGTGTTCGTGCAAATTAAAAGGCGATAGCGGAGCTCATATCCTCACGTGGCTGAGTCTTGCGTTGGCTCGGCTCCAAAACGTACGTGTAGGTAGACGTTATTCGCCGAGTCAAGTTTCCCCAGCCAAATTGATTCGGAGTGCGGCACGTCATTAGTCCTTGTCACCTAAAATCTATCGCGGAGCGAGCGAGCACGGGAATACGTCATAAGAGTGTTCGACTGCAAAACATGGAGCTTCGGACTCGAGGTTTTTCCCGGGAGCGGGGATTCCGGCCGTGAGCTTTGTACGATCCGCGCGGGTTCGCTAAGCTTCGAGTCCTCGCGTGTTGTTTCAATCGAACGAGCTTGAACAAACCGGATTGTAGGCGGAAAGCGGCTCATCCGATCCGTTTGTTCAGAAGCCGCTCCTGACCGGGGGTCTGGACACAGGATCCGGTCGCTGACTGAGTCGACTGATTTGGAAGATAGCGGAATTAGCTGCCTATTTCCTTTCCGGGGGCGCAGGCTCTCGGCCACGCATGATCCGAGCAGCAATCCGGGAGCGACTTCTAACTCAATTAGCTCGCGACTCTTCCGCGAATCCATCAACAAGTCTACAGACTCTGCTTTCGAGTGAATGGCCACGCGCTCGTTCCGGAGCGAGATTCACGCCTATTCCGTCCGATCTACGGCGAGAGAGAGACAATGCTGCATGCTTCAGTGGCTGCGTCACAATGCTTTGGCGAGTTCGCGCTGAAGAAATTCCTATCGACTCATTCCTTACCCAAGAGTTCAACATGAAAGGAAGCGTTCCGTCGGAGACGATTGTGTTACCCAGCGAAACAGCGTCCGTTCCCACGAGAGCCGAGTCGACCATGAAGCCCAGGAATAACGGACGACAGCGGTCAACTGGAGGAGCGCGTGCCCACCAGGAACCATTGCTCGTTCCGTAAGGAATTGACGGACGACAGCATTGAAGTTGACCGGCAGAGGAGTTCGTTTTCGACTCCGATTTCCGATGCCGAATTCCCGATAGTGACATGCGGGGCAACCAAGTAACAGGTTTCTCTTCATAAATATTTACATCGTAGCATTGTGACGGCCGAGGGACGGGGTGCACCGACCGAAAACACATCCGTTCGCCTTCGGAACACGTAAGGAAAAACGTTCCGATCGCCGACTGGTCCCGGGACCAGGGATGGTAGGGTGAGTATCTTTCGTTCGCACACGGTGATTCACATTCGACTCAAGACCACTGTCCCATCAGCGGTCATCGATTAGAATGAGAAATAGAATGAGGTACCGAAACTATTCCCCGTAGTCTTCCCGTATCAATTCAGGTTCTCGATTCGAGCTCTCGATCTGGCCCTCGAGTGGAGCTTGTTTAGAATGTTCCCGGGCTAAATATGAATGCGAGTCCTGGACATGGAGTCTCGCGTAATTATTTCTTCATTCCTGTAGGCTCTCGAACAATTAGGCCGAGTGAAAGTCTCGCGCTCAAAGGGGTTGCCGGCCGACATTTGCTTGGCGATGACGACGACGACGTTGACGAAGGAACCGCTGCCTTTGCCGTGGGAGACTCCAAAACGGCAGGTGGAGGCAGATGGAGAGGGAGCCGTCCGCGTCCCTTCCCTATCGAGGAGCGGCGAGGCGGGCAACCGGCGCCTCAGTCCATCCCGGTCCTCTACAGGATACGTAGCAAGAAGATCTCTATTGTTTTGCTATCGCTATCCCACGAGTGTTAGGACACGTGTTGATTTTCGCTGAGGAGCATCTGTTCGAAAGATGTAGTTTGGATTTGTTTGAATCCCTTGTGAAGGGTTTGTGGACCGTCATCCTTTGTGAAATGTCCTCGCGGCATGAGTCTCCCTGGATGAATCTTAGCTCTTCCAGGGCCCGGAGCTCCGTAGGATTGAATCGAGTTTTACTGCTGCTTGCCGCCCCGTAGTAGACGCTCCGCAACATCCCAGATGACAGACGACATCTCGAGTGAGGCTGGACAGTCCTGCACTCCGAAGGGGGACGGCATCGTACGAAGCCGTCATCCGAGCAGTCACGCCAGAAATCTGATCGAGACGAACACCATGGTCTCCGGAAGGCCGGGACCACCACTAGGATTGACCACCTTGTCAATTACGACTGGAAAACTCAACCATCCATGTCAGAAGGCTACCGTAAGGAACGCGAGGAACATACTCTACGGACTTGCGGTGGCTCTGTTCGTTGCAAATTCGTTGCTGATGCTTCCGACTGGAGTTGAGGCGGCCAAAGGACTGCCTGACAGAATACCAATTGGTGAGTCGCTTCGCAATAATTTCTTCTGTTGATTCAGTAGAAGGACAGTGTCAAGCTGTCAGTGTCGGGCGATGGTCGGTCGGCCCCCTCGATATTTCGTCTCGTCCACAGCTGTCGGTGCGGCTCGTGCAGCGGAGTGAAATATCCGTGACTCGATATTTTCCCGAGGAATTCTTCGACTTGGGACCGCCCAGGGGGGCTCCCGGGATGATTATCGCGTTGGTGGATGGGGCATTCACTTTTTCCCCCGACGGAATCACTCAGGCTGGGCTGGCTCCGTGGAAGTTCGCTTTCGCGTCCACCAGCCCCGACGTGGGCTCCTCCAGCTCGCAGAGAACGAACGGAGCTCCCCATCAGGGGTGGGCGTCGGATCCGGGAAGCTCTGGCACTCACTCAGGATCATCGCTGTAGAGATCATGTGGTCGCGGAAATGTCGTTGAGATGAAGCTTGATCCCAGCAGGCATCTGCCCCTGAATGAGCATTCACGAGTAGAAAAATGAGCGAAAGATCAGAGAGATTCGTTGGAGTCGGCTGTCCAAGCAGTGCCATTAGAGAGTGCGTTTCTGGGGCTGGGGTCAATGAGCTTCAACAGCAGGCCCCGCTCGTCCCCTCAAGTCTGAGGTATCCGACGGCGCATCCGGCACGGTACCCGCGAAGGAAAGTCCGCGACTTCCTCACCCCGACTCTGACGCCATCGTCAGTGCAATCAAAGTAAGCGATAAATCTGGAAAAAGGACTAATCGGCCAACATTCGGTGACGATACGTCAACTGCAACTCGATGAGATTGCGAAGAGAGGCGTGTGCGGCAGTGACCGTGCGGATGTACGGCGAATATTCAACGGTGTTCTGTTCGAAGGAGAAACTGTGAGCAGGACGGAGTATCGCGCAGAGAAGAAGAGGAAGTGTTTAATTCATTCATCTTAATCTAAATGATATCATATCAAGGAGATCCTCGGAGAATGAGTTCTTGCCCCGTGAAGCGCGGTGATTCGGAATGAAGGCGAAAAGAATCCCCTGGGCAGGAGGAGAATCTTCGAGGAGGTAGCGGATTCTGACACTATGAAGAAGAGCAAGGTTTCCCAATTCGAAGCCGGACGAGTAGCGATCGCTGATATGCGACTTGGAGAATATCGTGGTTCTCCCGGAAACTCGCACATCAAACGTGCTCATAATGGGGCCCAGCTCCGAATTCCAGTCGAGATGGAGCTGGAGGCAAAATGAGCTCAAAAGTCCGAGCATGGGCTCCCTCCCTCAAATACCTTGAGACTCCTAGCTTCCGGATCTTCAAGGCCAGCTGCTGTGAGAAGGTCGAATAGAGTCGTTGCGAGCAAGAAGACTCGCTAAACGGCCGGGGAAGGTGTCATCCAATGCCACCGCAGGATGCTAATTTAGACATGGCTGTGTTTTATGATCAGGACAGCCTTGTTGTCGCTTGCGGAGATCTTGTAACAGGAGCATTTGGATAATCCATCTCGGAACGATGTAAGAGATGTTCTACTGTTCGACAGCCGAAGCCGGTTCCCTCGGGCTTCGAATACCGGGGGCAAAACCCTCTGCGGTTTCATCCCAAGCGAGGATATCCGCCGTGCTCGCGGATGGCTGTTCTTCTCCAACTCCTCCTCTCATCAGATAACGGAATCATCGCCGGTAGGGGATGAGTGAAGGATCTTGTCTTCCCTATGGGGGAAACAGCATGACACGGAATGTTGAAGGAGAAGGTCGGCGTCCCCAACTTTGGCAGTATCGTGCTGTAGAGTCCGGAGAATCTATATTTCTGGCTCCAGGAAGTCGACCGATCGCGCCGTTGACCGGGCGCGAGACTGTCGTTGGAAAAGTTCGTCCTTGAGCGGAAAAAGAGCAGCGAGACTTCTTCCATCGGAGATATGTATCATTCGATCACGATCGCCGCAAGAATCATGCTCCGGAAAAGACTTGATGGCGGAGATCAGGAATCTTTTCTCTCTTCGGACCCATCCGCAGATCTCACGCTGTCCGAAGGTTCCCGGAACGTTGAACACAGAACCCAGAACGGAATCGAAAGGTCCACTGATGAAAGCACTCCGGGCCTATGACCGCAGTAGGGATCGGGGCTCAAGAAGACGGGCGCTCCAGCTTTCGATAGATGTTGATACTGATCCTCTCACATTTGGTTGAAATAAATGATTTCGTCCGATGGGGAGATCAATTCCCGACCTGAGAGGGAGGACAGCCACTGATTCCTCTCTCTCCCTCCCGTCATCGTTGTCTGCGCCTCGCGCGCAGAACCGTTATAAAAAGCGGGCTCTTACGACAACCCAGACTTGACATTGTCTTTGAATGAGATAATCGAATTACTGACTTCGCCGGTCGTGTCCCATAACTACGGTTTTAAACGAGTCAGGTCAACGACGGGGGCGAGAGAGCTTCAGAGTGAAGTCACTTCATGGGCTCGGCTTTCGAGATTTTCGTCCCAACTTCGGCGGTGTCGGCTGATTCGTCGTCCGCTCACGGAGTTGGACGCCCTCACGGTTTGTTGCTGATTCAGATTTGCGGACAGTAATCACGGGATGACTCGCGACCGACTCTGGACATTTTGTTTGACCATGGTTCGTTGAAATCCAAATGCCGGAGCGGCGACCGGCAATCATATCGAGGGGGAGCGCCTGTGGCATTATATCAGCTGTCCGTGCGTCATTGTCTAGGCGCTGGGACTGATGGTGCAGATGAGATGCATCGATCGTTTAACGAGTTTTTTCGGGCGACGAGAGCGATGCGTGCTCGGATTACCCGTGACGATCTCTTCACATGGAGCTCAGCCCCTGACTCACATCGGGAAAGAGACTTCTCACAGTTCCGGTATCACACGGATGTGTCTGTGGTCGGAATGATTCAATTTCGGTGCTCTTGGAGTAAGATTCTGGGCGGGTATCGTCATTCGCAGAGCTGCCTACCGAGCCACCGTGAAGAGCAAGCCCGGAAGCAGAAGGAAGCCTCGGTAGGGGCAGTTCGAACTCGCTCACCTTCGTCAAGGATGGGACGACTCGAACAAAGGCAGAATTACCTCGCGTTTCACGCCACCGTTTGCATTCCGTTCCGACGACGACAAACGAAAATTTTGATTGAGAGTCTCATTTGAATTCACGGCACTTCATTGTGCTATTCATGGCCTCGCCTTATTCCTTTCAAGGTACACTCCCCCCCCCGAGCACATTGGGAGAAATTCGCGGCACGAAGCGAAGTTCCCCCGTTTCGACGAATTTCCCGAGACAGATTCGGATGAATTCAAAACAAGACTCCGGTGCGTGCCAGGAGTTGAGCCTCGAAACCTCAGTCAGTCAATGTCGACTCGGGTCAGAGCGCCAACCGATATGGAAATCGACTGTCTTTGCTCGGCTCCGTTCTCGGGTTTCGTGCGGGAATCACGGGTCAATGGAACTTTGTCCTCTCCGAGTCAAAGCGAGACACCTCCGCAGCACCGGAAAAGACTCTGCTTTCGAAAACAATGTCTCCGGATCGATCGTCGCAAAGTTCAAGTTTAACGATGTCTGCTCCGGGGGCTCGTGAAGCCGAGTACTCCATCTCAGCTTTTCGTCGTTCGTCCGCGAGACGGGAAATTCGATTCCTCCCGACGGGCTTCCCGATTCACTCAGAACCATATGTATGGGAGTTCATGGAGGATTTCGCTCCTTTTGTCGACCTCGACTTCTTTGCGGTTCGGGGGGAGAGTTTTAATCTATCTCCTTGCCTTGTTGTAGAGGGACTATCTCAGAGATCTTTCCGTGTTCGCGCTGAGCCGAATTCGGGAGAGGATTTCTGAGGCACGAAGAACCATGGGTCACAAGCTGCGCCGCTCTCATGAACTTCTGGATGAGTCCTCACATTTCTTGTCACCTCCCAATCTGCTGTCTCGCATCTGTTAGCACATCATGGCGAGAATATTTCTGAATATCAGCCCGGAGAAGTCATGCCAATGTTGCCGGGAAATGATACATGCGCTATCATCAAATCTCGATCGTCAAATCCTCATGCGCTGTGAGATCGCATCGCGACCTATCGCAGAGGCCATTTTCCGGGCGATCTCCCGCCGAACGCCTGGGTTCTCGCGGTCGCCACCGATTTTCCACGACGAATCGCCACGGAATGTTACAGAAATTCGCGGGAAAATCGAGGTCTGCGGTATCCTCACACACGTGGACAATTATCATCACTCCACCCTACGTCGTCCAGAGCCCGCTTCGTCTCCTTATGCTTGCGCTCAAACGCCTTTGCGGTACGGTCGAGCTCCTCTCGTAGGTACATATGTTCGATCTTCTCGAACTGACTACGGATCCACGTTCGTCGGAACCTACCTCGGGGATTCCCGGTGCCAGGGAAAACTGATTTCGTCCCTAGGACTTCAAAAATTATCCCACACATCTCCAGAGGGTAATCCAGAGGAGTTTGCTGGAGAGGACGATGCTAAGCGAGTGCAGCGCGGAGAATGAAAAGGATCGAAAAGGCTCGCGATCTCTTTTTCTAAAAGTATCGGGACAGAGTCGTATCGTCGTGACGGCGGAAGTTCAATCCATGAGAAGTTTCGAATCCGGAGAAGTCTAGCGGAATCGGCGGATGGTAGAGGTCGTCTCGGGTGGAATTGAAGAAACTCCTGCTCAGAGCCCGGACTCTCTGATAGAGCCCCGCAAGGACGCTCAATACGGGCTCACGTAGGATCGTGTACGTTCGCTCCAATATAAAAAAAGGGGAATTCATCTGTCATACCGGATTTCCTACTTTTTCCCTCTTTTGCGAAAGTCTGACTAATTCGGAGCGTTTTCTGAGCTTTCCGCGGCACCCACGAAGGGGCAAGAAGTTAGATGGAGCGAGGTCCCTGCTGGTTCGGTGGGAGAAAAGAAGATAACGACGGAGATCTCGAGACTTGATCATCACATCAGGCCGCATTGCTCGGTCAGACCTCTCATCGGTGAGTCTGCGGAGCTCTCGGAGCGGGAACGGATTCGGTTTCGCCCTCATCGTTGCGGT